TGCCATACATATACAAGAACCTGAGTTTGGATCTCTAGCACTTACAGGAAAAGGCAGGGCATGGCAGTGGCAGCATGACCCATAATTCCAGCGCTGGGAGACAGGATAGGAGGATCCCTGGGGCTAATGGATGAATAGATGCACTCCAGCTTCAGTGAGAGATCTTTTCTCAAGTATCTGCACACACACACACACCTGCACGTACATAAAAATCTCATGCCTGAGAGTAAGGTCTAGCAAAGCAAGCGTGCACTCAGGGAGTGAGCTGGTGAGCATGTCCACCAGAGGTGCTAACTGTGACAAATGGCTACCCAGGTGCCAGCAAAGAGGGCAGAGGGAGTGCCGTGAGTGAGGCTACCTATAGTAACGGCACCCAGGCTCGAGGTGGGCAGCAAATATCACAAAAGATGCATCTGTATTTCAAACTGCTATCAAGAATCATCCAAGAAAAGTTTGCATTCTGCACCAAGTAGGACATGAAAACACCGTGACTTTGGTGTCACTGAAGTAGTAAAGGGGGGGGGGGAAGGCTGTGTTACTGAACCAGATGGAGTCCCCATGGAAGAGAATCACTCCAGTGAGGATCTGCACCCTACAAACATGTCTAGTATGGCTACTGTGCAGGTACCATGGACCTCCCTGTGATGCTGGTAAGACTGGAGAGAGAAACACAGCTTCGGGTTCAGAGTCAAATCTACCTCTCTAGGTACCCCAGTAGAATCCCTCTGTCATGACTTTTACCTGTTATTGGAGCAGGGAGAGGAGAGGGAGAAATAGAGGGAGAAGGAAAACCGTAGCAGATGGTCCAAACCAGCCATCTTCTGGCTGCAAATACCAGCATCCTCACAACTATCCATGTAGCCAAATGCTTTTGCACAAGACCATAAAGAGACCGATGCGGGTGAGGAACAAACTGAAAACCCTGCGCTGGCCACCAGCATGAGAGCAGTGCTGAGTGACCCTGGGATTACCTTCACCACCAGTTGGGTGACTTAAAGAAGTGACCACTTGCAAATAAGGCAAAAAGCACAGCCATGACCTTACCAGCAGCAAGAAACATCTGAAACTAAGGAGGAAGACTAAAACCAAGACTTGGTCATTAGAGCATTTCCTATTACTCAGCATCTAGCAGATCTGCTTTTCCTGCCTACCCTCTCCCCATCCTGTTTTTAGCAATATGAACTGAAAGAAGAAACATTAGTATCACATGGGAGAGAACTCCAAACAGAGGAATCTGAAGTACATAATAAACACTCTACTTTTGTTGTTATTGTTCATTTTTAGATGTGTGGGCTAAACGTGCAAGTGTGTTGAATGAGATGAACGCTGGCCTCTGGACACAACATG